CGCTGATCAGTTTCAGCAGCAGCTGACTTGGGGACGCCTGGGGTTCTTAAGTTGAATCTGTATGTAAGAACTGGCGTCCAGATTTAGCCTGTTGAAACTGATCAGAGGCTGATTCCAGGAAGCCCGGGGCAGAGCAACTCTGCCTTGGGCTTTCTGTAGTCAGCCGCTGGTCAGTTTCAGCAGCGGCTGAATCTGGACGCCAGTTCCGACTTACATACAGATTCAACTTAAGAACAAATCTACAGTCCCTATCTTGTACATAACCCGGGGACTGCCTGTATTTAAAAAACATTGCAATTCCAAAGTTATGAGGGGTCTGGATTCATTTTTTTTTCCTTCCAAAGTCTGATGAATTCACCCTTTTGTTATTTGAATTGTGGTTTATACTGCCATCTAGCTTAGAAATACATTATTTTAGTTTCAGTGAGCAGAGCTCAAACAATTCTGTTAAAATCTAATTGTGATTTTAGTAACGATATATTTATTCAAAAAGAGTTGGATATGATTCACTTCTTTAAATAGTTCTAAACTGGTGATAAACTAAGAATTCTAATGCATTTTATTTTATTTTATTTATTTATTATTTATTTTATGCATTCTACTTTTGTCTGAGTCATGAACAGCATCTAGCATTAGTCTTTGATCCATTTTAGCAGATTTAGTTTGAAACTTGTATTTTACATACATAAGAAAGATGTATGACAAAACTTTATCTTTGGATTAAATAGCATTCATTTTATAATGACCATATTTATTTCATAACTGTGTCTAATGTAACAATGTTTTTAAGTTGGGAACCTAGTTTTAAAATGTTTCATGTGAATAAAACTAATGGGTAAAATGCTAACCTCATGAGAGGAAGCCAAGCAGAAATTAGTTTACTTTTATTCATAAAAACATGTTTGCTAAAGGCTGTTTTCTAATGAGCAGAGGACTTTCAAACTGTGTATTTATTGTATGGTTAGATGAAGTAGAGTAGATCAGATTGGCTATAGAAGAACAATATTTTAGTAGGAGGAAGTAAGTGGTTTGGTCTCCCTAACTGTTAATAAAGAAGACTAGTTTTTCAGCTAAAGAATAAATAACTAACCTACAACTGGATAGTTTGTATTCCTCTAATTAGTTTGAGATACTGATATCTTCTCTGTTCATTTTGTGCTTATGTTTTATTCATTCGGGTGGGGAAAAAAGAAGCTTTCCTTATTTATTACTAAATTATAACCTTTCTTTTCAACAAATTAAATAAACAAATAAACATGATTATATCATATCTACACAGCTATTTCTAAGAATGTTTCCTTCTGGCAGCTAAAGAGAGGCTAGAGCAGCGATGGGCAACCTAGGATAATAAGTAGGCCGTATGAGTGGCCTCCCTTCATCTCATTGTGCCTCAAGATTGTCATAACGAAGATGGTCTCCCAAGATAGGCTAGTTTTGCAAACTGCACTTCCATATATATTATTTGTGGGGGGTGTCAACTGAACTGTAACAGCACTTTGATTGGCTGAAGAGGGAGCACACAGCTCTCACAGTGAATGTTGTGTGCAATCAGCATGCACCTCACTTCAAATATCCTTACCTGATGTGTGTGTCACTTTAGCAATACCCATAGGAGAAAAAACAACATGAATGGAAACCAACAGATCTGGCAACCCCGTGCAAGAGCAACATTAAACAAAATATCTCACAGGTTACACATAAAACCCTGATGGGGAGCATGTGACCCTTGGGCCACAGGTTGCCCACCACTGGACTAGAGTAATATCATTAAATACATGAAACATACTCTCTTGATACCCTTACCATTAGAGACAAAACTTATTGGAAAAATACAGTTTCATAGTAATATTATTTTGAACTATAATTAAGTTTAGGCCTTGATCTTTCAAAGTGAAATAAATAGGACTACATATATATCTAAGTTAAGCACATGTTTAAGAACTTTGATGAAGTGGGACAGAGAGCTTAGCATCTTGCAAAAGCAAGACCTTAAAAATCTAGGGTATTGAATCTATGCGATCTTGCTTCCCAACCTGCATAGCGGAGTTTAATTCTTGGTAAGCTTTATTTCACTGTTGTAATCATAGTGACATGCACAACCAAATATGCAACATTAAATGCTAATTATTTGAATGGCTTCCATATCTTTGTTTTTTTTTTCAATTTTCTTTTATATAGAGGTTCATTTGAAGATTCTACAACCAGATTTTATACAGCATGTGTAGTGGAAGCTTTTGCTTATTTGCATTCCAAAGGAATAATTTATAGGGACCTCAAGCCAGAAAACCTCATTCTAGATCACCGAGGTTATGCCAAACTGGTGAGTGCTTACAATGTCTTTTTTTTTTCTGTGCAGCAAACATTCAAAAAACTTCAGTGCCATGTTTATTACATGAGAGTTAAATCTCTTTTCCATCAGGAACTTCTACATAAAGGTTTATAACTCACCCATAAAATAGTACTTCTCGCTGAAACTTTAGCATTCAGACTTGCAATCCAGAACAAATTGTTTAGAGAAATGAATTAGGAAAAGCTAACTGACCATTTTGTTCTATGTGGGGACAAAAATAGAAGTTTACAATAGATGTTTCAAAGTTGTTGTTGGTGGTGGTGGCTTACACTCATAAATCACTTTTATTTTTACAGACTACTGGTGCCAAATTTTTGCAGGCTGATGTGAACAAATTGTTTTCTTTGTTTAAAAAAACCATGATTTGTGTATGGAGATATTGAACTCATTTGGTTATTTCAAGAAAAGATTACACATGATTTGTGTATGGAGATATTGAACTCATTTGGTTAATTCAAGAAAAGATTACACTAAGGTCACATCTACACAACAGGGCTAAAGTTGAAATAAGCTACACAACATGAACTACATCAATTGCATAGCTTACATCAAAATAGCTAATTTTGGCTTTTGGCACAATCTACACAGCAGGAAGTCACAGAAAGAGCACTCTTCCTCTCAGGGGCAGATGACCGTTTTGCAGGGCCCCGGGCAGCATAATTTCGCGGGGCCCCCCCTTTGCCATGGCACATGCGCAGTGACGCCATGCGCATGTGCGGTGGCGCCATGGCACATGCGCGGGGCTTTTTGAAGCACGGGGCCCGGGGCAGCCGCCCCCTTCGCCCTGCCCTATATCCGCCCCTGCTTCCTCTGACTTCCCTTACTCCTTGTAAAATGAGGGTTACAGGAGTTGGAGTAAAAAAGGTTCTCCAGCTCGACATTACTTTGACATTATGTCAAAATAGCTGCTTGTAGTATAGATGTAGACTATGTTATTTCGGAATAACATTAATTATCCTGAAATAACACTGATGTGTAGATGTACTCTTATTATATTGAATCCTCAGGCTTGTCCTGCTAACATGTAGCTAATACAGAATGTTGCTGTAAAAAGAATCTTTTTCCTAGTTAGTTATACTTTAAACCTAAACTTCTTTTACATGAAGGCCCCAATCCTACAAGCATTTGTGCACTTAGCTTTAGACACAGGAGTATTTACTTGATTTCAAGTAATATTCTTAGACTGTAGCTGTAAGTTCAGCATAACATAAGAACGGCCGTACTGGGTCAGACCAAAGGTCCATCTAGCCCAGTATCCTGTCTATCGACAGTGGCCAACACCAGGTGCCCCAGAGAGGGTGGACCAAAGACAACAATCAAGCGATTTGTCTCCTGCCATCCCTCTCCGGCCTCTGTCTGTCAGAGGCTAAGGACACCATTTTATTCCCTGGCTAATAGCCTTTTATGGACCTAACCTCCATGAAATTATCTAGCTTCTCTTTAAACTCTATTATAGTCCTAGCCTTCCCAGAGAGGGTGGACTGAAGACAATGATCAAGCGATTTGTCTCCTGCCATCCCTCTCCAGCCTCTGACAAACAGAGGCCAAGGACACCATTTTATCCCCTGGCTAATAGCCTTTTATGGACCTAACCTCCATGAAATTATCTAGCTTCTCTTTAAACTCTATTATAGTCCTAGCCTTCACCGCCTCCTCTGGCAAGGAGTTCCACAGGTTGACTACATGCTGTGTGAAGAAGAACTTTCTTTTATTAGTTTTAAACCTGCTACCCATTAATTTCATTTGGTGTCCTCTAGTTCTTCTATTATGGGAACTAATAAATAACTTTTCTTTATCAGCCCTCTCCACACCACTCATGATTTTATAGACCTCTATCATATCCCCCCTCAGTCTCCTCTTTTCTAAACTGAAAAGTCCCAGTCTCTTTAGCCTCTCCTCATATGGGACCCGTTCCAAATCCCTAATCATTTTAGTTGCCCTTTTCTGAACCCTTTCCAAGGCCAAAATATCTTTTTTGAGGTGAGGAGACCACATCTGTACACAGTATTCAAGATGTGGGCGTACCATAGTTTTATACAGGGGCAGTAAGATATTCTGGGTCTTATTTTCTATCCCTTTCCTAATAATTCCTAGCATCCTATTTGCCTTTTTGACCGCCGCTGCACACTGTGTGGAAGTTTTCAGAGAACTGTCCACGATAACTCCAAGATCTCTTTCCTGATTTGTCGTAGCCAAATTAGCCCCCATCATACTGTACGTATACTTGGGGTTATTTTTCCCGATGTGCATTACTTTACACTTATCCACATTAAATTTCATGCATGCCTAATGTTATGAACATTTGTAAATAACTGCAGGATCAGGACACAGGTAAAACAACAAACACTGCTGGAAAAGTTCTTACATATCTCTGTTACCTGATCTTGTTACTCCCTTTTTAAAGTCTTTACATTGGTGATTAGAGAAATTCTAGTTCGAATTAGGCTCTCTAATTCGAACTACCAGTACACCTCATTCCATGAGGAGTAATGGTAGTTTGAATTAGAGAGCCTAATTCAAACTACCTACTCGGTGCCGCGTGTAGCCGCGTGCACGGAGTCCACACTAACGGGGATTTAAAAATGGCGGCGCCCGGCAAGATGCAAATGAAGCCCGGGATATTTAAATCCCGGGCTTCATTTGCAGCTTCGAATGCCTACATTAGCCACCCTAGTTCGAACTAGGGTGGCAGTGTAGACATACCCTTACAGAGTAGCACAGTGTTAGCTTTCATATAGATTTGCTTAACACTGTTGGAAAACTAATAGGCAGGAGAGAGATAAACCAGATTTGTAAAATTGACCTTCAATTTTTGTTTTCAAAATTTAGAAAATGGGCATAAATAATAACCATTTAGACATTTGAATTACCTAATTTTACCTACAAACCAGGAAATTAAAAAATCAGATATCATTATTTGTTCCTGAAAAAGCAGAAGATGGGTGGTAAAGATGTGACTGGCTTGCTGAAAAATATCACCCATCAAACACAGAGTCTGTGTCTAGACTGGCCAGTTTTTCCGGAAAATCAGCCGCTTTTCCGGAAAAACTTGCCAGCTGTCTACACTGGCTGCTTGAATTTCCGCAAAAGCACTGACGATCTCATGTAAGATTGTCAGTGTTTTTGCGGAAATACTATGCTGCTCCTGTTCGGGCAAAAGTCCTTTTGCATAAAACTTTTGCGCAAAAGGGCCAGTGTAGACAGCTCAGATTTGTTTTCCGAAAAAAAGCCCCGATCGCGAAAATGGCGATTGGGGCTTTTTTGCGGAAAAGCGCGTCCAGATTGGCACGGACGCTTTTCTGCAAAATGTGCTTTTGCGCAAAAGCGTCCGTGCCAATCTAGACGCTCTGTTCCGAAAAGGCTTTTAACGGAAAATCATTTCTGGAAAATCATGCCAGTCTAGACGTAGCCATACATGTGAATATTAAAAATTAGGGACTGAATTAAGTCCCTTCATGGACATCTTGCTAGAAAAGAGTCCAGAATGTCTTTCCTTCCTCGTTTATGCCCCCCACAACCACGCCTGAATCCCTATCCAGACAAAGTGTAACCATAAAATAATGCAGAAGGAGATTACCTAATAGCTAAAATATTACACTTTAGTTAAATATTGGATACACAGCTTAGTTTTTTGGTTGTTAGAACTGAAATTTCATAGAATCATAGAACACCAGAACTGGGAGATACCTTGAGAAGTCATTGGCTACGTCTACACTGGCACCCTTTTCCGGAAATGCTTAAAACGGAACAGTTTTCCGTTATAAGTATTTCCGGAAAAAGCACGTCTACATTGGCAGGATGCTTTCCCGGAAAAGCACTTTTTCTGGAAAAGCTTCCGTGGCCAATGTAGACGCGCTTTTCCGGAAAAAAGCCCCGATCGTCATTTTCGCAATCGGGGCTTTTTTGCGGAAAAGACTACTGTGCTGTCTACACTGGCCCTTTTCCGGAACAGTTTTTCCAGAAAAGGACTTTTGCCTGAACGGGAGCAGCATAGTTTTTCCGGAAAAACACTGACAATTTTACAGTAGATCGTCATTGCTTTTCCGGAAAAGCAAGCGGCCAGTGTAGACAGCTGGCAAGTTATTCCGAAAAAGCGGCTGCTTTTCCAGAATAAGTGGCCCAGTGTAGACATAGCCATTGAGTCCAGTCCCCTGCCCTCACAGCAGGACCAAGAACTGTCTAGTTCATCCCTGACATGTGTTTGTCTAACCTACTCTTAAATATCTCTAGAGATAGAGATTCCACAACCCCCCTAAGGAATTTATTCCAGTGTTTAACCACTCCAACAGGCAGGAAGTTTTTCCTGATTTCCAACCTTAAACCTCCCTTGCTGCAATTTAAGCGCATTGCTTCTTCTCCTATCCTCGGAGGTCAAGGAGAACAATTTTTCTCTCTCCTCCTTATAACACCTTTTTCAATACTTGAAAACCACTATTACGTCCCCTCTCAGTCTTCTCTTTTTTAAACTAAACAAGCCCAGTTCTTTCAGCCTTCCCTCATAGCTCATGTTTTCTAAACCTTTAATCATTTTTGTTGCTCTTCTCTGGACCTTCTACAATTTCTCCACATCTTTCTTGAAATGTGGTGCCCAGAACAGGACACAATACTCCAACTGAGACCTAATCAGCACAGAGTAGAGCACAAGAATGACTTCTCATGTCTTGCTCACAACACTCCTATTAATGCATCCCAGAATCATGTTTGGGTTTTTTTGCAAGTGTCACACTGTTGACTCATGTTTAACTTGTCATCCACTATGACTCCTAACTCCCTTTCAGCAGTACTCCTTCCTACACAATCACTTCTTATTCTGTATGTGTGAAATGGATGGTTCCTTCCTAAGTGAAGCACTTTTCATCTGACCTTGTTTAAGCTTCATCCTGTTTACTTAAGACCATTTCTCTCTTTTGTCCAGATCATTTTGAATTTTGACCCTATCCTCCAAAGCACTTGCAACCTCTTCCAGCTTGGTATCATCTACAAACTAAATAAGTGTACTCTCTATGCCAATATCTAAATCATTGATGAAGATATTGAACAGAACTGGTCTCAAAACAGAACCCTACTCATATGCACTTGAAAAATCTTTTAGTCACAAATTATTGATTTGAACCAAGAGTACAATATGCAAATGCTTGCATGGTAACATGCTAAAATATTTATCCTGAATCTTCTACTGGGTCCAGATGTATGGCAACATGCTAAAATATTTATCCTGAATCTACTAAAATAAGGATGGGTCCAGATGTATGGTTGGCCAAGCAAACATTATGCAGGAACACAAAATGTTTGCAGATTTGGACACAGTTACCTCTGGGTTTCCCATCCTCACACTCTTGTCCAGAAACCTTTTGTGAAGCCTAACTTTTAAAGTGATTATAAGAAAAGGTAATTTGCAAGACAACATTTCCACTTGTTTATCCAAGATAGTTGCTGCTGTATTATTACTAGAACTCTCTTGTTGGCTGAGATCTGAGTTTAAAAAGAAAAGCTTCAATAGTTGATAACTAAAGTTCCACATCTTCAGACAGTCATTCAAAATGTAGTCTAAATGGAACATGTTTATAGAAAGTGTTCTCTAGCTTGCAGTCATGTCCTCGGCTTGTACTTCAAGCATTGTATCACACAGTCAGACACATTTTCAAATTGTGAAGCAAACATTTTCCATTAGAAATCTCTAGAAAATATAATATTTTCTATATTTCTCTATTTGCTCAGAAAGAAGGTGGCTTCCTTTGTATAATCCAGTCTTCCGGTGACAAAGGCATAAATGGGAAAAGAGTGCTCACAATGGGTTTATGGTTTCAAAATATTCAGACATTACAGACAGAACAGAAAGCACCAGCCTACTCAGGGAAAGTACATTGTACTTGCACTCTGCCACCTACACTGGCTAGAGAATGATATTCCTGGTAGTGAACTCTAAGATGTTAGTTTTGAGCTAGAACCATAATTTTGTCCTTGCTACCAAAGAGAGCATCTGACTCCCAATTTGGGATAGTGGGAGTAACAATCACTGGAGTTGCCTGAGCTTCCTAGTGTAAGGACAAATGGCAGAATAGACAGAGGTTCTTAAATTAGAAATTGATTTCTTCATCCAATGTGTGTCTGCATCACAGATGGCATAAGGAGCATGCAAGGAGTATAGCTCAGAATTAAATGGAGTGTATCAGGGGGTGGCGTAGATGTGTACAAAAACATGCTCACGAGAGAGATTTATAGACAAAACCACATGTAAATGGAATTCAGGAGCTCTCTGTTGGCAGCTGTGCTTCAGTCCCCCTCAATCAACTACGGAATATAAAAGTATGGATTTGAGTCTGATTATAATAATTGATTTATTTTGATATCTTTAGATGCACACAAAGTCCTGATTTGGAATTTAGCTTGACACAATTTGGGGTGCGATGGGCGGGTGCATGTCACCTATGATCAGGCTGTTAGAAAAAGCCAGAATAACTGAAGCATAGTGCTGTCACCTAGTTGCGTGACAAATTATTTTACTGTATCACTCTGTTGTGTGAAAGTGAAACCTCAGGGTCTCCCTTGATACTTTCATTTTCAAAGCTTAGAACTACAGGTTGGACTTCCCTGGTCTGGCACCACCAGGACCTGACTGGTCCCAAATGAGAGAATTTGTGGGACCAGGAGAGGTGTCCCCTGCCACCTGCCTGAAGCCAGCTGAACCTCCTGCCTCTGGCCCCCCTACTCCCTCCTCAGCTGGGCTGTCTGTCGTGCTGCCGTTACCCCACAACTCCAGGCTGCCATGGGCGGCCGGGGTTCTCTGGCCCAGGTATTGGCCTCACACTGCTGAAAACAGCCAAGTTTCCCTGGCTCAGTGTTGCTGCGGGCAGCTAAGGCTCTCCAGCCTACGCACTGCCACGGGTGGACTGGCTTCTTCAGCCCCGCAGTGCATGAGCGGATAACGTTCCCCGGCCCCGCACTGCTGCGTGCTGCTGGGCTTCTCTGGCCCTCAGCCCTGTGCTACCGCAGGTGGTCAGGTTTCCCTGGCTCTGTGTTGCTGCGCTTCTCTGGCGTCCAGCCCCATACTGCTGCTCATGGCCAAGGTTGCACTGCCACGGGCTGCTGGGGTTCTACAACCCCATAACTATTGTGGGGCTACTCCATCCCTGGTCTGAACTGCTGGCCCTCCTGCCATTAGGCTTCTGGACTCTCTGGTCCAGGAGCATCCATGGTCCAGCTGTTGTAGGACCAGAGTGCCAGATTTCAGAGGTGCAACCTGTATGTTCCACTGGCAGCCCTTGATCATATCCCTGGTGATGTGGTTCCATCAACTAATCAAGAAGTAAAAACATGGGCAACAAAGATTTTTTTCTCATTGTTTGCTTTTCCTATGGTAACTGATGCCACTTGAACAATTCCCAAGAACTACAATTAGGCAAAGGAGAACAAGCATACCCCACGTGGCAGGGATCCATTCATCCTATCCTGGGCCTATTCTTTGATCTGACCACAGTGAACTGACATGAATAGTTCATTACTCAAACAGAAGTTTGGTATTAGAAGAAAGAAATGTGAGCCATGTGCAAATGTCCAACATCACCTGAATAGGGCAGAGATTGATTAAAAGATTTATTGGAACAGATCTAGTTATCATAACCACTAACAACCTATGAAGAGATGTTTGGTTCATTGTCATTCTCTATTCTTATCTCAAAAGAAGCACTGGAGTTTGTACTATGAAAGCTAAATCTGGAAAAAAAGTCATGCTGTGGTTGTCTGTTTTATTTTTAACAACCTAGCATGCTCTGGTTTATGATAATATTCCCACGAGGAAACCTTTATGTCTGCTTTGCTTCTCTAAGAAGAACAGAACACATTGCTGAAATGTCCTTTATTTTTTCTGCATTGATGGAATTCCTTTCCTTTCACAGGTCGATTTTGGCTTTGCAAAAAAAATAGGATTTGGAAAAAAAACATGGACTTTTTGTGGAACTCCAGAGTACGTAGCCCCAGAGATCATCTTGAACAAAGGTCATGACATTTCAGCAGACTACTGGTCACTGGGAATCTTAATGTATGAACTCTTGACTGGCAGGTATGGGCATTGGAATTGGAACTGCTGATAAAAATAGATCAGCAAATTACAGAGTATTTCTGCCTTTGTCACTTTGATTAGAATACTGGAAGACTCAAAGCCGGTATCTGTGATGATGGCATACAAGAGTCTGAAAACTTTACTGATAAATCTAATTGTTATTACTTTTGCTGTTTAATCATAGATCACTTTCATACAGTTATCAAATTACAAGGCATTTAGTCACAAGGCAATTTACAGTTTTATCATGAAAACATGTAAAATGACACCAAACTCATGACTATAACCTACCCTCATTTCCCCCCCAGATTTCCTAATGAGAAAGGTGGAGCTGCATTTACTAGCAGGAGGGGGAGATGAGGAGAAAAAATTGCAATTCACCCATGGGCAGTGGAAACTAGCAGCATATGAAAGAGATTAGGCAATTCTGATATGGTGCAGCATCTCTAGCTTGTTTTTTAATATGTTACAGATAAGAATTTACATCAAAATGACACATGAATGTTCTTATATCATGCCTCTTAGACTCTGCTCTTCTCCAAACTCACTAAGTATTTCTCAAGACATCAGCACATAAAGGGCTTTCCTGGAACTGTTGCCTCAGCTCTCAAGTATATAAAGCAACAATGCCAAGAGAGTTAAGTGTGTCTTCAATGAGGCATCAAATCATCAAGCAGAACCTATAGTCAGAATTCAGGATGAGGTTTGAGATATATGCTAGTGGAGGGCAAAAGAGGACCCAGCAGGCTCTCCCACTTACATCTTGCCAGTATTGTTAATTCTGAACACCCATAGGGATTAGAAATGGAACCATTTAAAGTGGAATCTGGATATGCCTTTCAGTGATCTGATTTATGTTTTTTTTTTTTAATGGTAACTTAATTTTGACCTTTTGTCATCATTAAGGGAGTATACAATCCAGAATCTGTGATGGTTTTTAATGTTAGCTGCGTTTATACCACCTAACTTGTTGAGTCTGTTTTGTATATTCTATCCCAAACGTGATTTGTTGGTGGTGTTTTTAACACTTTTTTAGATTCATGCAGAAATTTGATGCAAATGGAAACATTTGAATCAATTTCTGAATAACTGAAATATTAAGTTTGTATGTATAAAAATTGTTCAAATGATTCTGCAGAATAAAACTGCATAATTGAAGTAATGAAGTTTTTTCAAATGAAATTCTCAAGCATATAAGTATCCCAATGTTAAGGACTCAGCTCTCTACTTTGTCAGTTGGAGTTACACACACAGAATAAAGAGTTACTCCTATAAGCAATGAAGGAGACGTTGATGGCTCCACATACTATATGAAATAATTGCAGCTTGTGTATTATAAATTTTCTGGAGCTTGCAGTCTTTCATGCCCCTCATGCTGTTTTCAGCCAAGAGTGGAAGAAATACTAGCTGTTGACTCAGAATAGCTAAGAAACACAAATTGCTGGGCATGCCTGTATCTTGGCCCAAAGGAGAGAGCTAGTTAGATTTAAGGGATAAGGAGGAAACAGGACTACCGTATATTCCGGCGTACAAGACGACCCCCGATTTTTGGGGGATGTTTTTTAACTTCAGAGGTCGTCTTGTACGCCGGAATATACGGTAGTCCTGTTTCCTCCTTATCCCTGCCAGCTCTGCAGGAGTTGGAACAGGGACATAGTCCTGTTTCCTCCTTATCCTTTAAATCTAACTAGCTCTCTCCTTTGGGCCAAGATACAGGCATGCCCAGCAATTTGTGTTTCTTAGCTATTCTGAGTCAACAGCTAGTATTTCTTCCACTCTTGGCTGAAAACAGCATGAGGGGCATGAAAGACTGCAAGCTCCAGAAAATTTATAATACACAAGCTGCAATTATTTCATATAGTATGTGGAGCCATCAACGTCTCCTTCATTGCTTATAGGAGTAACTCTTTATTCTGTGTGTGTAACTCCAACTGACAAAGTAGAGAGCTGAGTCCTTAACATTGGGATACTTATATGCTTGAGAATTTCATTTGAAAAAACTTCATTACTTCAATTATGCAGTTTTATTCTGCAGAATCATTTGAACAATTTTTATACATACAAACTTAATATTTCAGTTATTCAGAAATTGATTCAAATGTTTCCATTTGCATCAAATTTCTGCATGAATCTAAAAAAGTGTTAAAAACACCACCAACAAATCACGTTTGGGATAGAATATACAAAACAGACTCAACAAGTTAGGTGGTATAAACGCAGCTAACATTAAAAACCATCACAGATTCTGGATTGTATACTCCCTTAATGATGACAAAAGGTCAAAATTAAGTTACCATTAAAAAAAAAAAACATAAATCAGATCACTGAAAGGCATATCCAGATTCCACTTTAAATGGTTCCATTTCTAATCCCTATGGGTGTTCAGAATTAACAATACACCCACCCTCCCCCATCAGCACTTGTGCTAAAAATAGACCACAAACTGCATCTTTTCAAATATTTGTGACTTTGTATAATTTACTTCCTATATCATCAGGACAAACTCGAGAGCACATATCATATTGAGTAATTTGTTTTTACTTAAACATGTTCAATTAGCTATAATTCAATTTTAATCATTTCAATTTATAATATTAATATTTATATTTAAGAATGTTATTCTGTTTTTATCTATTTACATTTTCATGGTTGCAGGAAGTAATGAGCATCAATAATAAGGGAATCTAGTAATTATTTAATGACAACTGATTTTGAGATTCAAAAATTAAAGCTTTAACAGTGAAAATGCAAATGGTCAACATCACATGTCGAAATAGACAAAAGTAAATTCATTAAATCAATCTAAATCTGTAGAGAGGCAAAGCAAGAAAAATACTGCTTGAAAATTTAAAATTTATCAATGAAAATATTTTTCATTGCATTAAGTACATAACAAAGAGTTTCATTATGCCCTGTGTTCATTCTGAAGAGCTGTTGGTACAGAGTTTACTGACATTTACCAATAAAAATAAAATCCTTCCGCATCTATTTATAACTTAACCAACTTCTCTCTTAAATGTTGTATACATTGTGTGGCAAGGTCAGTCCCACTCCTGGGTCCCTGACCCCTGTTCTGTCCACTATCCCACAGCTTTAGGGCTGCAGCATGACACTCACTTGCAGAGTTTTTAGCACTTGACCTTCCTGGCCCTCAGCATAAAGAATGGAGTGTTGGGCTGAAGCCCTGGGCCAGTCATGGTTGAGTAGTAAGTCCTCCTCTAGCCCCATGGGAATAGGGAGCCTTTCAACCCTCCCTGCTCAAGCTCCTCACCTCCCCCTGTAGCCTTTAGGAGGACTGGTGATTCCTCCTGTTCCGCGCCTCTGAATCTCATCACCTGGTTGTTTGCTCCTCTCCACACTCCTCCTCAGCTCTCTCTCCCCCTTGCCCTCTCCCCTAGGGAAGGCTTTTAAAGAGGCCTTGTGGCAGCCTGATTCAGCTCGCTTGGCCCTTAATTAATTTGCAGCCACCCTGTCTCAGCTGCCCTTTTAACCTTTCCTGTCACGTATCCTCCTCCCCTACTGAACACTATGGGGTTGGGCTTCTTGGGACGGCAGGCAGTGCACCCTCAACAGGCTGTTGATCTTGTCATGCTTGGTCCCAGCCCTACGTTTCACTTGAAAGTGGAAGGAACAGGAACCATTGTGTTACTAGACATTTTTGTCTTTGTTCCAGTGCATCCACTGTTGGGGAGCGTGGTCTATAACCAGGATGAATTTTTGTTCAAGTAAATACCACCACAGACTCTCCATCACCCACTTCATGGCAAGGCACTCTTTTTCCACAATAGCATAATTTCTTTCCTTTGGTAGGAGCTTTTGGCTCAGGTATAGGATGGAGGGATCTTACTCTCTGACCATTTTGGACAACCCGGTGCCCAACCCAACTTCAGAGGCATGAAGAAAAATCTCCTTCTTGAAGTCAGGGGCTATAAGTACCGGGTCCCTACACAAGGCTGTCTTCAGGTCTGCTGCCGGGATCCAATTCGCGACTTCTGGGCCACAGGCTTTTGCTAGGTCTGTCAGGGGACATGCTCTGGAGGCAAAGTGGGGGTTAAATTTCTGATAGTACCCCACTAGCCCAAAGAATGCCTGGACCTGCTTTTTCTGAACTGGCTGGGGCCAATTCTGTATTGCCGCTACTTTATTTAGCTGAGGCCTCACTACATCCCTTCCTACAATATACCCCAGATATTTGGCTTCTGCTAGACCCATCGCACACCACACTTAGCAGGGTTTGCGGTAAGAGTGTCTAATACAGCTCCCATCTTCTCTAGGTGCATGTCCCAGTCTGGCCTGTGTATGATGACATCATCCAGATACGCTGCTGTGTATATGCGATGTGGCTGTAGTAGCTTATCCATCAGCCTTTGGAATCTCGCAGGGGCCCTGTGTAACCTGGGAGGATAGAGTCCCTTGGGTGTGGCAAAGGCTGTCTTATCCCTAGCTTCCCTGGCCAAGGGAATCTACCAGTACCCTTTGGTCAGGCCAGGGGTAGACAGAAATCGGGCCTTTCCCAACCTATCAATCAATTCATCTATACGGGGTATGGGACAGGCATCGAACTTGGACACTTTGTTCAGCTTCCTAAAATCATTACAAAATCAGAGGTTGCCATCTGGCTTAGGTACCAGGACATTGGGGCTGGACCATTGGCTGTGAGATTCTTCTATGATGCCCAGTTCCAGCATCTACTTTACTTCCTTTTTAATATCCTACCGTTTTGCCTCTGGGATATGGTAGGGCCTCACATTTACCTGTAAACCTGGGTCTGTGACAATATGATGTTCCACCTCAGTGGTTCAGCCAGGTTGAGCCAAGAATACATCCGAATGTCGGTCCAGATTTAGAACTTCCTTCTGCTGGCCTGGGGCTAGCTCTGGGGAGATCCCCACCTGCTTCTGTGGGGTTTCCTCTGGTGTCATGTTCCCCAGGGCAGCCAGTTGTACTTCCTGGTCCAGTCAGGGTTTCAACAAGTGGTAGATTTGTTTGATCTTCCGGCGACCAGGTTGTTATACCTTATAGTCTACTTCTCCGAGAACCTCAATTACTTCATAGGGTCCCTGCCACCTGGCAAGGAGTTTGCTCTCTGCTGTCGGGACTAGTACCATTACCCAATCTCCCACCTGGAACTTCCAGACTGTCGCACAGCCGTTATAGTAGCTGTGTTGGGCCTCTTCCAAGTTCTCCCTTACTACAGGGGTAGTCTGGGTGATCCTGTCCTTGGGGAGGACATGCTGAATAATGTTGCACCCATGGTTCAGCTGTTCCTCCCAAGCCTCTTTGGCAAGGTCGAGGATACCTCGGGGGTTGCACCCGTACAATAGTTCAAATGGAGAAAATCCTGTGGTTGCCTGTGGAACCTCGCGGATGACAAACATGAAGTACGGGAGTAGGGCATCCCAGTCCTTCCAGTCCCAGCTCACCACCTTCTGGATCATGTCCCTGAAGGTACAGTTGAAGTGCTCAATGAGGCCATCTGTCTGTAGGTGATATACTGACATCCTCAGGGCTTTGAGATGGAGTAACACACACAGTTCCTTCATTAACTTGGAGACAAACAAGTATCCTGATCAGTTAAGATCTCCTTGGGTATCCCTACTCTCAAAAAGATCTGAACCAATTCCTTTGCAATGGTCTTAGAATGGGTATTTTGAAGAAACACTGCCTCTAGGTAACAGGTAGTGTAATCTATGACCACTAAGATGCTCCGGTGCCCCCGAGCTGACTTCTCTAGTGGGCCGACTAGGTCTATCACAATATGCTCAAAGGGGACCTCGATAATAGATAGGGGCACCAGAGGTGCTCTCGGGTGTGGCTGGGATCCATGCAGTTGGCACTCGGAACAGGAGGTACAATATTTTCAGACCTCCATGTATACACCAGGCCAATAGAACCTTCTTAGGATCTGATCCAATGTTTTATCAACTCCTAGGTGTCCACCAAACAAATGGCTGTGCACCAGGTCCAGCACACTTCTCCAGTGTTTCTGAGGCACCAATAGCTGTTTCACTACCAGTTCCTAGCATGGTACAATTCGGTATAGCAGATCTCTTCGAAGTATATAATATGGTCTTGGGTCCTTGCTTCTTCCTTCTACTGGGACCCCATTTACTTCCACTACTTCTTTGCGTATGTTCTGGAACGTGGGATCATTGGCCTTGTCCTGCCCAAAATTCTTGAGTGAGGCCCTTATCTGCCCAAACTCTGAGGAGTCCTCAGCCTCTTCCATCCCTGGGGGCCCTGCCGAACTGGGCCCAGCTTCAGGCTCACCGGCCTCTTGTGTCACCCCCCGTTATGTTTTACTCAGCCTCCTAGCATGGTACAATTCGGTATAGCAGATCTCTTCGAAGTATATAATATGGTCTTGGGTCCTTGCTTCTTCCTTCTACTGGGACCCCATTTACTTCCACTACTTCTTTGCGTATGTTCTGGAACGTGGGATCATTGGCCTGGTCCTGCCCAAAATTCTCGAGTGAGGCCCTTATCTGCCCAAACTCTGAGGAGTCCTCAGCCTCTTCCATCCCTGGGGGCCCTGCCGAACTGGGCCCAGCTTCAGGCTCACCGGCCTCTTGTGTCACCCCCCGTTATGTTTTACTCAGCCTCCAGTCCAACTAGAGCTGGTCTTAGTTTCTGGGCCAAGATTCGCGTGCCCAGGCTCTTGGAAGCCCTCCTTTCCTGCCTTATTTCCATGGCTTCCCAGGCTCGGAAAACAGGTTGGGAGTGAACTTTCTACCTCTCCCTCCTCTGTAGGGAATAGATTGCTAAACTCAGGGAAGTCCCGCCTGATCACGACTGGATGGGGAGCTTTGGGACAACCCTGGCTGCCACCTAGGTGCTGTTCCCCTTAATTTCTAACATCACGGGGATAACAGGGCAATAACCAATGCCCCTATGAACACAGGATATCCTTGTGCTCTTGGCCCGGCACAGCTGGTCCTGCCCTATCAGCTGTCCCAAAACCAAGGTTAGCACTCCCAGAGTCCACCAGTACCGTGGTCTCTATGCCATTCATCTTTACCTGCCGGGTATACTGATGCAGGGCCATCGCTACCCCTACCAGTTTTATCAAGCTGCAGGATCTCTTCAAATCCCCAAGATCACACTGCATAGGTTCCTCGATATTTGGGCATTGTGCCGCTATTTGCCCCACTTCCCCACACGCATAGCACCGATACCCTGTTCCTGGGGCTGCTGGGCCTCATCCCTTGCCCTTCCTTCCCCCAGTCCCCAAGTCCTTTCTAACCCAAAATAAGCAACCTGAACCATCCATACTTACGGACATTTTGTTTACCTATCACCAGAGTTCCCTCTAATTTTTTCCATTCATGTGTGGAATACATTTTGTTATATGCACTGAGGCATGTGAGCATATGCAACACCAGTAGGAACACAGGAAGAGCACATTTATTCCATCCTCTATCCTGTGCTGTTTTAAAAGCTATTATATAATAAGTCAAATACAAAAGTAAGTTAGGAAACAGAAGGCCTGAGATCAGGACTGCGTTCAGCCCCTTGCTTCTTAGGCTGGCAAGACATGGAATCACTGCTGGAAAAGGATGGTTGGTCCATACAGAGGAAGGACTGCTTTAATTTGTTCTTTAATGCTCTCTCCTGGCCAACACTTGGAGCATCACTGATGAAGTCCAGACTGAACCACAGAACTCCTTGGCTGTAGAAAGGATTACCATGGCATGAACTTTTGAGACAGAAGGAGACATTCTGGAGAACATCCTAAAGGATAGAAAATAAAATGTTAATGGTCCAGCCTTTCAACTTTCCTCAGACCCCAAGAGGAGAAATATTATTACTTCTGAAATTTAGCTCTTCTGATTTGTTTTATAATAGGATGGTATGAGATATATGTTTTAAAGACAGACATTTAACTTTCATTTCCCCCCTCCCATTTCCTAAAGTCCACCTTTCTCAGGCCCAGATCCCATGAAGACCTATAACATCATATTAAGAGGGATTGACATGATTGAATTTCCAAAGAAGATTGCCAAAAATGCTGCTAATTTAATTAAAAAACTATGCAGGTAAGTAACTTTTTTCAGACCGATTTGTTTCTTTATTCATAAGATAAAGATTGTTGTATTAAAAATAAACAACTTTATCATTCTTTTTATAGGGATAATCCATCAGAAAGATTAGGGAACTTGAAAAATGGAGTAAAAGATATCCAAAAGCACAAGTAAGTGTGTATCACAATTATCAATTACTTTCAAATAGAAAAATTGTTCATTCAGACACAAAATAGTTTACATAACAATTCTTTTCTAATTTGTATTTTGGATGTTGGGTTGTTTTTACACTATGGCAGTAGTTCTTTCATAATATGGGGATTATTCTATCCTTCATGTGGCACACAATGACTCTTATTTTCCATATTGCAAAATGTTATTTGTATGCAAGTTCAAGTTAAAAAATTCTTTCATTCAGAATACCACACTATCTGTTTATTTTTAACCTCCCTGTATGTGCCACCAGTTTCCAAAATCATTTTTTGTTTTTTTTTAAACTGTGCCTCTGCCCCTAGAGTTAAGATACGGATAATACAGAGCCTCTAACTCAGTGGTCCCCAAGCATTCGTGGCTGCCGGGCGCCATGGGGTGGGATCGCTCACGTGCTGGGCGTCCGGGGGCAGGGCCGCTCACACGCTGTGCTTCCAGGGGTGGGGCCACGTATGTGCCACATGCCCGTGGCAGGGGCTGCCCACGCGCCCTGCGCTGGCACTGCACATGTGCCGCGCGCCAGGGGTAGGGGCCGCCCACACGCCCTGCGCCCAGGGCCGGCACCACGCATGTGCAACGCGCTGGGGGCGGGGCCAGCCCAGATGTTTCAGCGGGCACACATAAATGCCCCAGCGGGCACCATGGAACCCGCAGGCACCGCGTTGGGGACCACTGCTCTGATATTTCATCAACTGATTTTGATCTTCTTGGTATCAGTAGGTTAGTGATAGGTGCTGTTTCCACTCTGCTTGACATATAAATAGCCAGTAAAACAAACCATGGAGTGCCCAGCATCTGTTGGAGCAAAAGATTTTGCCTTTCTATTCTGCAATGTGGAAGTCGTTCAAGTACTTCACTGCTTCCTCCTTGCTCTAGGAGGGTAGTCCAGTAGATCAGTAGCAAGTTGTCCCCCACATCATTCCTCTATCATCTCAGCTGTGCTGGCCAGTATGTGGGTGGGCGAGCCAAGAATACACACTGTCTGCTTAACTATTTGAGCAACTCCTTACTCCTATCTAATCAGACAGTGGAGGCCACACAAAAGCTATGGGGCAGTTCTGTGCTAGTCACTTATAATTTGTTCAGGCCTGCAGTCTGGAACCCACAAAAACCCTGCAAGAGATAAGAAGCTGTCGGGACAACTATAGAAAAGACTAGCTAGGTCTTACCCTGAGCAGTCAGGAGGATGTCCCCCACTGCCATTTTCCAATCATGTATCTGACAAACCCCTTCATATCACAAGATTTCTGCACATATTTTGGTTTGAATAAAGAAAAAACTACAAAGGTGTATTTCATAAAATCAACAAAAAAATGAATGTAAATCAAAGGATCTGAAGAAAGTTCCTAAAGGAATTAAAAATCTATTCTCCGCTATATTATAACACTAATGTTTTGTGTTATAGTGACATTTATACTGTCTATCTAACATCTTGATTTGTCCTAACATTATCCCCCTTCTAGATGGTTTGAGGGCTTTAACTGGGAAGGGTTAAGAAAAGGTACATTGACACCTCCCATTATACCAAGTGTAAGTACGCTTTTTACTTCTGTCTTTGCCAGTCAATCAGGAATGGTTTGCTTTGTGTAGCTTGTATAAGGTTTTAATATGCCTAGTAAAAGTAACAGCATGCAGAGAAACTTGTCTGAAGATACTTGCACTGTGATATTCTTCCCAGCAGTTGAAGTGGGGTGAGCCTATCACTACTGAGTTATTTCTCTTCTACTTTAGGTTCACTTGATTTTTTTATCTCTCCACATTTCCTCTTCTTTGTTCTGTCTTTTTGTTTTCTTTCTTTTTGCTCTTCTGTTTTTGTGCACTTTCCTGTACATATTAATTCCTCTTCCACTCCTCTTTGTGCCTCTACTTTTTTTTAGCCATCACATCCTCTGTGAAGAACTTATAGACTAGTCAGTTATAATTAACTGGGAATAGACTCCAGAAGAAACAAGCTATAATACTTGTTAGTTTCCTTTTGCAGTTGAGTGCTCTTTGCCCACAGAACCTACAGGAAAATTGAATATTCAACTTAATCCTTTCCCCATTGTTAAATTCACTCTCTTGATGTTGCTGAAGATGAACCACCTTATTTAAATGGACTCTGCTACTTAGTTCATCAGTTTAGCACTGGTCAGGTCCCATGGGTGCCAGACTAGAGAAATGCAACCTAGAGTATTTGTGTGCATTTTTGGATACCGTTGAGGTATACTTTGATTATATGGGTGTGGGGGAGTAGTATGGAGCTCTTATTTGATGTTACATCTTTGTTTATTTTCTTGATTTGAAAAAACCACTAGGTTTTTTTTGTTTTGTTTTGTTTTGGGGTTTTGCACTACCAGATTTTTAATTACGCTAAATGCACATAAACCTCAGCATAGGCACTTTTTAATTTTTGTTATAATGTTAAAAACCTTAAATAATACCCTAGCAGTGATAGCTTTTAGATGACAGTATTGCCAAGGGACAAATGTATTTGCTCTTACTTTTCTTTAAATATCACTACAATAGTAAAAGCTTTCAAACTAGTGAGTTTTTCTACAGATAAAATATTTCAGGTTAGTGAATGATGTTGATATTGAAAGAATGGTCTTTCTAAAGATCCCAAATCAAACAAGTGATGCAAACACATGAACTGTTCATTTGGCAGGTTGCTTCTCCGACGGACACAAGCAATTTCGACAGTTTCCCTGAGGACAATGATGAACCGCCACCTGATGACAACTCAGGATGGGATATAGACTTTTAATGTATTTCTCTTACCTGCTTCTGCCTTGCTGAAGACAGCTTCCCAAGACATGGCTGCCAGCAAAACTGAAGGAATTGGGGAGGATTAGTGCTCGGGGTCACCATGATGCCTTGATTGATGCTGCTACAGTAACTACAGTGGCATTAGGACTTATTGCTTAGATGACAATAGTGCTCTTCACATGTTTTCTGTTTGAACTTATAATAGCAGTTGACATGGTGGTCCTGAAGCAAAGCCTTTTCACCAGTAAAGAAATGTGTTTTCTATCACTGCAATTATTTTGCTATGCTCTAATTATAATTTGAAAGATAATAGTGTAAGATACACTTAAAGCTAGTATTTTACAGCTAGAATTATCAGTAGGATCAAATGGTAACTATTTATGTACTATAGCTCTCTATAGTGCAGAATCTGGGGTACTCCCACACTTCAGAGTGAGTTTGTAGGGTCTTTTACTGCAGGCCAGTGTGAAAACAAAGGAGGACCACACAACTATTGGTCAATGAGTTCACGTCAAAGTAGTGTTCATGACAAGACTGAATGTTACCTTTCCTTTTTCTTTCTGACAGATTTTTTTAAGCTGATATAACAAAAGCACAACTGCTACAGATTCTGTTGAGAACTGTTAAGGCAGGTATGGGTCAGTTCTCACATATGACAGAGAACATGTAATTAGTATCTTTCTTTTTTCCTTTGGTACAGTACATATTTGCATGAAAAAAATCATAAAATTATTCATTTTACATATAAAAAATGTGCTTACATAAAGGTCCTAAAAATAGAATGACAACAACTGATCTTCTTAATTATCTATTAGAAATAAAGACTGATCTTAAAATAACACTTACCTTTTAGAACCCAAGGAAGAAAATCTAAGACCCGTAACATTCTGTATAGGTGCTATGTATGTCTTTCATCTATGACTATAAATGTTCAGCGGTCAACAAGCATTTCAGAGATATGTAGCAAGAGACATCATTTTTAATGATGCTCTAAAATCAGAAAATCCTTTAAGACTTCATAGTGCATCATCTCCGCTTTTACTCTGCAGTATTTAGGAGCCAACATAGTATTCTTACTTGTTCTGCTTCTTTTAAAATATATCCATAACTAGGGCAGTTTACGGATGACTTTGGCTATATTTTTAATCACTATATTTAAAAATGTAACTAAACCAATGTTTTCAGTTAGAACACAGTATGATAACAATGAATCCTAATAGTCTATTTGCAATGGATGAGATTCTGATGGCACATCACATAAGTGGAAGATTGAGAGAGCAACACAGGTCTACTGTGTTTGTGTGAGATGTGCTAGCATATATAATTTGCAGTACACAGACACTTTAGTGATGCAATGGCTACAGCATATAGCCACTGCTATAAAAAAGAGAAAGGATACTATAGGCCTGAATTCTTCTCTCACTTCCACTGCTTTTACATCACTGACTCCAGGACATCAATGGAGGGTTCAGAAAAAGAACTATGTATGTCCATCAATGGCTATTAGTTAGGGTGGGCAGAGTTGGTGTCCATAGCTTCCGTTTGCCAGAAGCGTTGAATGGGAAACAGAGGGTTTTGTTCATTCCCTTTGGGGTACTGGCATTGGTTATTGTCAGCAGACAGAAGAATGGCCGTACTGGGCCAGACAAATAATGCTTCTAGCCCGCTATCCTGAGTCACTCCTGATTTACACTGATGTGAGGGAAAAAAACTCTGTAAACTAATCATAGGTTTATTTGAGAGAATGTAAGTTTACCTCCTCACACTTATAAGAGGCATTAGTTTTCCGAACTTGCAATAGATCTTACCAGGACCTTATTATATTCATTGGAACAGCATATGATGCCACATTTGATTATATAATGTTATAGAGTCAAAAATATGTGACTTAATTTGTTGTGCTCCAACACATCATATATTGAAGCTGTTAAAAGATCAACATTTGCCTCACTTGGTACCACACAGTTATTATGGCTGTCTCCTGTTCTACATTTAGAGAAAGATTACGGTAATCCCAAGTAACAGTGTATGGTACCAGTTAGCAAATAGTTTTCTGTGATGACCACTGTATCTATCCTAATACATTAGCATATTAAATGGCATTCATGATTTTTTCAAAGCATGGGAATCTAGGCTCTGATCTTATCCCATTGAAATGGATGGGCATTTCTCTATTAACTTTAAGAGGAACAGGTCCCTAGTGAAGATTTTGTGGGTTTTTTATCTTTACCTGTAAATATAGGGGAAGCAAATAGTAGGGGATTTATCAGTAACAGAATGTCGCCCATGAATACATTTTAGTAGGTTTTCATAGTCATAAAGGACATCCATAGATTTTGCACCAACATCATGTCTACAATTTGCCAGCAGACTGGAAAGCCTCATTTACTGTAAGACTGTGTAACTAGTCTATATCATTTATTTTTACAGTTATGTACAGTAGGACATCAGCAGCACCACATAATTGCAGGTCATTTATGTTACTCATTAATCATGTGTGGCATTGTATTAATATTTAAATATGCTGAAGCAATCATTTAAAAACAACATCTACTGGGAACTACTTGTATACAACAAGTATAACACCTACTTAGTATTTTAAATCCATACGTTAAATGTTTAAAATTGTCTGAACGCAGACAGTAGATATTAGGGCTAAAACAATCACATAGTCATCTTAGTTAAAAAAAAAAATGTACAGGCAGTCCCCAGGTTACGTACAAGATAAGAACAAACCTACAGTCCCTAAGTTGAATCTGTATGTAAGTCGGAACTGGCATCCAGATTCAGCCGCTGCTGAAACTGATCAGTTTCAACAGCGGCTG